TAATGGTGCTGCTGAGGGTCTAATCATACCAGAGAAAGGACTACGACAAGGAGATCCTCTGTCGCCATATCTTTTTATACTTTGTGCAGAGGTTCTGTCTCACCTGATGAATCGCGAAATGATCTCGCGTAAGCTCAATGGAATCAAAATCAGTAACAACGCCCCCGCTGTGAGTCACCTATTATTCGCTGATGACTCTCTATTTTTTTCTCTCGCCAACACTCGTACTGCTCAGAATTTAAAGCATATATTGGGAACATATGAGGCAGTCTCGGGGCAAGCTGTAAATTTGCGAAAATCATCTATTACATTTGGTAACAGAGTTCGACCTCATATCAAGCGTGGAGTGTGACAAATTCAGGGTATCCATAACGACGGTGGAGGAGGTAAATATTTAGGCCTACCAGAACAGTTTGGTAGAAAGAAGTCTGAAATGTTCTCCTATATAATCGATAAGGTAAAAGGAATAACTCAAGGCTGGAGTAAAAAATTTCTTTCTCATGGAGGTAAGGAAATTCTTCTAAAGTCTATGGCTTTGGCGATGCCTATCTTCTCCATGAATGTATTTAAACTCACCAAGGAGGTCTGTGAGGATATAAACGGGATCCTGGCAAGATTTTGGTGGAGTTCTGATGACAGTAAAAGAGGAATGCATTGGCATTCTTGGAAGAGATTAAGTATACCCAAAAAAGAAGAAGGGCTTGGTTTTCGTGATCTTGAAAACTTTAACTTAGCTTTACTGGAAAAACAAGTATGGAGAATCTTGATTAATCCAACTTCCTTAATAGCTCGTGTGCTAAGAGGACGCTATTTCCCAGATGGAGACATTCTCACAGCAAGAACGGGAAGACAACCTTCTTATGCTTGGAAATCCCTGCTACAAGGGAAAGATCTTTTAAGTCAAGGTTTGCGCTATGTAATTGGAGATGGTACATGAACAAACTTTTGGACAGATAAATGGCTACCAGTTCATCCGCCGCGTGCTCCTAAACCTAGAAATGATGTCCTCGACGACATTAAAGTCTCTCATTGCCTGAACGATCTGCGCAATGGTTGGAATGGATCAAAAATACGTGAGATAGTGGATGATGAAGATATTGATAAAGTTCTACGAGTAAAGATCTGTCCATCAGCAAAGGCTGACTTACTGGGATGGCATTACAATGAAGATGGTAACTATATTGTTAAATCGGGGTACTGGTTGGCAACACATTTACCGAACTCAGATTGTCCACAACCTCCACCAGGTGATATTCCACTTAAAAAAAGAGTATGGAATCTCCAAACGGCACCTAAAGTTCAACATTTCCTTTGGCGAATGATTTCTGGATCTTTAGCTATAGGGGATGCTCTTCGGAGAAGACACATTAATACACATTCGGTCTGTAAAAGATGTTGCAGGGAAGATGAAACTCCTAAACATCTATTTTTTTATTGCGTTTATACACAAGCCATTTGGCGTGGATCAGGTATTTCGCAACCCCTTCTTTATGATCAAGCTGCCACTATAAAACAGAAACTAGATGTGATTATCGATTGTAACTTGATTACCCGGCTGGCTCATTTTAAACATCTCCCACTATGGATTCTATGGAGGATCTGGAAAAGTAGAAATCTACTTGTCTTTCAACACAAACATCTTCATTGGACAAAGGTTATTCAACTGGCGAAAGAAGATGTCAGGGAATGGGAGGAACTGAATACTCATTTTGTTCAAAATAGAAGTACAAGAATCTCAACGAGTTCACTAGCAATATCAACAACATGGAAGAAACCTTCATCTGGATGGATCAAATGCAATTTTGATGGCTCTTTCAGGAACACAAACCTTGCTTCCAAAGCAGGCTGGGTTTATAGAGATGAAAAGGGAACTTATAAAGGATCAGGTCAGGCTCAAGGTTTGGCTCTTAACAATGCACAAGAAAGTGAATTACAAGCGCTGGTTATAGCAATGCAACATAGCTGGAGTCGTGGATATAAGAAAGTCATCTTTAAAGGGGATAATAAAAAAGTTATAGATCAGATTAATGAGAAGAAGCTCAATTTTGGTGATTATAACTGGATCAGAGAAGTTCGAGCTTGGAGTCATTGCTTTGAGGAGATCCAATTTCATTGGATAAGCCGTACACATAATCAAGTGGCGGATAAATTAGCAAAACATCTAATCCCAAATAATGACTTATTTAGTTTCTATTTCTATGTATTATTTCCTTACATCTGATTTGCATAGAGATTATGTAAACTCTTCTTCTTAATAAATTATATCTTTGATGGAAAAAAAAAATAAAATACCCAAAAATCTAAAATTTGTTTTAGATATTTTGAATAAATTTTGGATAATTTTGTGTATCCGAAACCGATTTAAATCTAGGCGGAACCAAACAAAACTCAACCTGAAAAGTATGTGAATAAATCATATACCTTAATACTCAAAAACTCAAAATTCAAAAGAAAATGGTCTTAAATTTTTCGTACTACAACTACCATTAAAAATTATTTTGAAATTAATAATTTATTCAAATTTTATATATTATTCTCATTATGCGATCCATTATATGTACTACTCATATTTATCATATTTGAAATCAAATTTGAATATAGATAAAAAAAATACCTTAATATTTACTACAATGCAATATGATTTAAGTGAGTAAATATAAAAAAATATAATTATTTCAATGCATTAGTCAAGTATTAAACAATATAAAAATACAAAAAAAAAAATCAAGAACTGAAATAACTAAAACCGAATTAGAACCGAACAGAAATGAAATATTTTGACTTACTAATAACAAAATAAAATTACATTTTTAAACTAAATATATTAATTATATTTTGAAAAAATTATAGTTGTATTTGGCAAATAAATAGTTTTTTTACAAAATTTATCCAAATAAAAGAAATACCCAAAAATCTAAAAATATGTTTTAGATATTTTGAATAAATTTTGGATAATTTTGTGTATCCGAAACCGATTTAAATCTAGACGGAACCAAACAAAACTCAACCTGAAAAGCATGTAAATAAATCATATACCTTAATACTCAAAAACTCAAAATTCAAAAGAAAATGGTCTTAAATTTTTCGTACTACAACTACCATTAAAAAATATTTTAAAATTAATAATTTATTCAAATTTTATATATTATTCTCATTATACGATCCATTATATGTACTACTCATATTTATCATATTTGAAATCAAATTTGAACATAGATAAAAAAAATACATTAATATTTACTACAATGCAATTGCTAATTATCATTCAATAAATCAAAAATAAAGAATTGAGCCATTCAGCTAACTAATTTAGCGGATGAATTGGTGAATATATTTTGTTTTCAATTGAAATTTTTCCCAGTTCAGCACTTACTCTGTTACCATTTAGACCCTCTATCTAGAAGATTCATCTTGATGGAGATGAGAATTAATATTTGTTTAATGATAATAATAAGCAATCCGGATGAGTTGTAAAAATCTAAGAAAATTCGCTAAACTCATCTGGATGGATCAAATTATATCAGCTGGATGAAAATGATCCATTCCAAAATAACAAATGTATAAAATACACTTATCCAAATAGAGAATCTAAATGCAAATTACATATAAGCAAACAAACATAACCTATATGATAATTTACAATTAACCCCAAAAAATTATATTTTCCCACTATAACTATAAAATCATGTTTTTCTAAAAAATCAAAAATTGTATTTTCTCACTAAAACTGTAAAATCATGTTTTTTGTTGAAACAGTAAAATTGGATTTTTCCGCAAAAATCACAAAATAATGTTTTCCACCAAAAATGTGGAATCAAGTTTTTTCGCTAACTAAAACCATAAAATCATGTTTTTTCACCAAAATCGTGATATTATGTTTTCCGTAATAACAGAGAAATCATCTTTTTCATAAAAACCTCAAAAATCATTTTTTCCATAAAGTTTTCAAATTATAATTTTTTTCAGCCAAGACCACAAAACTATATTTTGCTGCCAAAAGTGTGAAATTGTGTTTTTTCTCCTCTAAAACTGTGAAATATTTTATAGCCAGAATTGAAAGATTACGTTTTTATTAAAAAATATGAAATTATGTTATTTCGCCAAAACCACAATTCGTATTTTTCCGTTAAAACTATTTGATTAACAAGTATATTTTACATTAAATTAGAATTAGAATTAAATAGATTAGATTAAATTTGAAAATATAATTAAATTAAAACATGGACATATTAATCAAAGAAATTAAATTACATTCAAATGCATTATTTAGATAAATAACTCAAAATAGAATGAACAATATTGAAATGATGCATTTTAATCATTTGAATAGTTCATTTGGATGAAAATAATAAATGAGCCAACAAACGGGTCTTAACACTAATGATGGCTAAGACTGATATAACTAGAGTAGATGTGCTAATTCTGATGACAATTTGCGCCGGAGATTTTTATCAAAGCAACAATGTTTTTTGAGGTCAAACAAGACATAGCAGAACATATCCGCTCATAATAATTTGAGACTCAACCCGGATAGCAAGTAATCCTATAAATACACCACTTGAACAGATAGAGAAAATAGAGAGAAGAGAGCTTTTAGAGCGAAAAGTTTAATCTTTAGATTTTATTTTTTTTACTATGTGGTTGCCCGTACAAAGTTTTAACTTTTAGGTGTTTAGACTTTAAATAAACACACAAACTCATTCGACACCCGCCACTCCCAAGTCCCAATCATAAATTAAACTTCGTACTATTGTTATTTCTTTTCTTCGTCTATTCTAATTTGAGAATTGAGAATAAACGAGAGGACCGCTTCCTCTCTCGTTCCGTCAAGACTTTGTCTCAGTTAAATCATCATCCTCCAGTGTTCGAACCAAAGTTACAAATTCACTAAACCATATATCTAACACGTCAGCATCTATAAATTGTTCTCGAACAAGAGTTAAAACGATAAATCCAAACCCACGTCGGTAGAGGTTTGTGGCGTTTTTTTGTTTCTTTAAATTATAGTGAACGTGAGAAACGTCGAAAAATAATTACTCAACAAATTACTTTAAAAATTGTTTTGACATAGTCTTCGAGTCGCACCCAAAACGTTGAAAAAAAAAACCGATTTTTATTTTCTCGGCGTTTTTCGGGAAAACACTCGCAATACTTGCCCAACTCAAAAACCTTCGACGATCGAGCTCAGACAAGGAAGATTTCAAATCAAATGCTTCGATTCAACCTGCTCGCTTCCTAACTCTTCGATCGTTCTCATCCAATTTGTGTGTTTTTTGTCCAATCGTTTAAGTTGGTTGTGTTGAAGCGGAGATCTCGAAGATGAAGCAGCTCCTTCGTTTTCTTCTTCCATGGTTGCTTCTCTCAGTCCCCTTTTACGAGGCTCGATTCGTGGTGGAGAAGAACAGCTTGTCGGTGACGTCGCCGGATAGCATCAAAGGGACTCACGACAGTGCTATTGGCAACTTCGGGATTCCTCAGTACGGCGGAAGTATGGCCGGTACGGTGGTTTATCCGAAGGAGAATCAGAAATCGTGCAAAGAGTTCAGCGATTTCTCGATTTCATTCAAGTCACAGCCTGGCGCTTTGCCTACCTTCCTCTTGGTTGATCGTGGAGGTAACACAATCAACTCTTTTCTTCAATTTCTGAACTTGAATCGATTTGGTCCCGAAAGGTTCATGCTTTCGTCTTTCTGTTGCATTGCAGTTTAACCCTTTTCGTTTTTTTCTTTATTAATTAGCTATTTATTAGTTCTAATGTAAGCTCGGATTTTGTAAATTTCGAGTTTCAGTTGAATCCAAATTAGACGGTTTTAGTTCCTTCAGTTTCAATCGAATCAAATTGATTGCTTTTATTCTTAATTGCTTCATGTCTGTGCAGAAATAGTCTTACTTCTACTACACTTAGCCTAATGGATGTTATATTTTTCTGTTGTTCAGATTGTTTTTTCGCTTTGAAAGTGTGGAATGCACAGAAAGCTGGTGCTTCTGCTGTTCTTGTGGCAGACAATGTCGATGAGCCTTTGATTACAATGGACACACCAGAAGAGGATGTTTCGTCTGCAAAATACATTGAGAATATAACCATACCTTCTGCTCTTGTCACGAAAGGATTTGGTGAGAAGTTGAAGAAAGCAATCAGTGGAGGAGATATGGTCAACTTGAATCTCGACTGGAGAGAAGCTGTTCCGCACCCTGATGACCGTGTCGAGTATGAGCTGTGGACCAATAGCAACGATGAGTGTGGGGTTAAGTGTGACATGTTGATGGAGTTTGTGAAGGATTTTAAAGGCGCCGCTCAGATTCTTGAGAAAGGCGGTTACACGCAGTTTAGACCTCATTACATCACTTGGTACTGTCCTCACGCTTTTACGTTGAGCAGGCAGTGCAAGTCTCAGTGTATCAACAAGGGAAGATACTGTGCTCCTGATCCAGAACAGGACTTTAGCTCGGGATACGATGGAAAAGACGTGGTTGTGGAGAACTTGAGACAGCTTTGCGTTTACAAGGTAGCTAATGAAACCGGGAAGCCTTGGGTCTGGTGGGATTATGTCACTGATTTTCAGATCAGATGTCCCATGAAGGAGAAGAAATACAACAAAGAGTGTGCTGATTCTGTTATCAAATCTCTTGGTGAGTCTTCTCTTTTATAGGTCGAAAACTAAAGAACAGCAAAAAAAACTCTTTTTTTCCTGGAGAGTAAGGCTTATTGTCTATGTCTTAACAGGAATTGATAGCAGAAAGCTTGACAAGTGTATGGGAGACCCTAATGCTGACATGGACAATCCAGTTCTAAAGGAAGAACAAGATGCACAAGTAAGAAACTACTTATATTTGATCTTCTGTTTGAATTATCCTGGTCTCATAATTATGTTCTTTGAATAATCCATTTGGGATTTGGCATATTATGAAGGTTGGCAAGGGTTCAAGGGGTGATGTTACCATATTGCCTACACTGGTTGTCAACAACAGACAGTACCGAGGTTTGTTTTGCACTGTTGAGTTAAGGCTTCAGTATTCTATGTTCTGGTTTAAATTAATGTTTCCTTGCAGGCAAGTTGGAGAAGAGTGCAGTACTCAAGGCTCTATGTTCTGGTTTTGAGGAGACGACTGAACCAGCTATATGCCTGAGCACAGGTATACATTGTTGGTTAGTTAATCTTAAGTGTTGGCTAAGAAAGTGTCTGTATAAACTATAAACCACTGGGGTACGTTTGGTTTATACGATCAGATGAACTTTTGTGGGCTTAAATATTCGAAGTTTTTGTTCCCCAAATATGTGAAAAACTCATAGTAAGACCTTTTGTGTTTGTAATCCAAAGTTGATTCTAGATCACACCTTTGACACTTATTGCATTTTCTGTCGGAATTCACAGAAATGGAGACAAACGAGTGCTTAGATAACAATGGCGGTTGTTGGCAAGATAAATCAGCCAACATAACTGCTTGCAAGGTATGGTATACTGTGATATTCCTGGGAAGAATCTCTGTTATATCTATTAATCTGCTTAATTTGCAGGATACTTTTCGTGGGAAAGTATGCGTCTGTCCTATAGTTGATGGTGTGAGATTCAAAGGGGATGGTTACAACCATTGTGAACGTGAGTGTTCTTTCCTTTTTCCTTTTAAAATTGTTAGGGACTTGTTTTATTCAGTAGAGATTTGAGTATGGCAAGACATTAGTCATGTTTCTTACAGACGACCCTTTTTGTCGTCCTACAGTATGAAAATGTTGGGTCTTCGTCGTTCACATGTCTGGTGAAAATCAAAATGTAATGTTGCTTGCATGATCACAAGAACTTTGATAGCAAAAGTATTTTTCTGATAGGATCCGACCAAGTGTGATTTTCATCTTTTATATTTCATCTTTCCTGTGTAAGGGTGATTTTGGGTTTTTTTTTGCCTTTGTTGTTGCTCTGCTTCTGTTGGTATAAACGTTTCGTACTTGTTTGGTGCTTGCGTTGCAGCAAGCGGGCCAGGGAGGTGCACAATCAACAATGGAGGTTGTTGGCATGAAGAGAGAGATGGACATGCCTTCTCTGCTTGTGTGGTTAGTGTTCCTTCTGCACTTTGCTTCACTATTGAGCATAATAAGAGACTCATGTCTCAAACTTGTAATGCCTTTAGGACAAGGACAGTGTTAAGTGCGAGTGTCCTCCAGGATTCAAAGGTGACGGTATTAAGAAGTGCGAAGGTAGACTCTCTGTCAAACTTGCATTACAATATTTCTTTGTGCTACTTCGTAATTCTCTTGTTTAAAGATTTCAATCCTTCCTTCACCAGACATTAATGAGTGCAAAGAGAAGAAAGCCTGTCAGTGCCCGGAATGTAGCTGCAAGAACACCTGGGGAAGCTACGAGTGCTCTTGTAGTGGTGACCTTCTCTACATGAGAGATCATGACACTTGCATCAGTGAGTTTTCATACTTTGCATTTCTACAATTCTAGAAATACTCGTTCATACAAATAACCTCTGTATTTAGACAAGCTCCCTCTGTTTTTCCATCTAGCATCGGTTCTTTTGTTTTGAATTTAGGCAAGACTGGTTCACAAGTGAAGTCAGCGTGGGCGGCTGTTTGGCTTATAATGTTATCATTGGGACTTGCAGCTGGTGGTGCGTACCTCGTTTACAAATATAGGCTAAGGGTAAGCAAAATATTAATCTTTTTGTTTTGTGGCCTGAACGTCTGTAGAAACATAGTTCCTCGGTAGCTTGCCATATCTGTTGCTTGGTAAAAATGTTATGAACTTTCCTATGTGCTCTGGTTTTACAGCAATACATGGACTCAGAGATCAGAGCTATAATGGCACAGTACATGCCACTAGACAGCCAACCAGAGGTCCAACACCATGTGAACGATGAACGTGCTTGAGAGAGCGGAGTGGTTCATCTATTTATTCTCCGGCGATGACTCAAGGTGACATGTTCTTTTGATTGTTGTGGCCTTTTGATCCCGGTGTCTTTTTTGGGATTATGTATCTCTGTAACACATATACCATACAAGTGTACTTGCATAAAGATGTTCGAGTGACTTCGTGCTTTTTTTAAGCAATGTGGCTCCTATGTCTTGTTACTTGTGTCCATGGGACTTGTGGTATAGGGAAAAAAATCTGTTGTAGCTTTGAAGAAATAGAAACAAACATGAATGTTTTTAAAGTTAATCTTTTAGTCTTGGACAAGTTCGGTTATTTGTGTAATTTTTCGTTATGTTTGTTTACTTTAATTGTTGTCGAACCATTTTTTTATTAATCAATCACTGATAAAGGACACTTGGAATGCAATTCTCCATTTTATTTTTGATCAACAGCCTCTTCTCTTATAACGGTTCATAAATCCAATTCTCTCATAACGATTCAGAAATTCAACAAAGCGGTGGAGTTTCAATTCTCCAATTCTCTGTGGACCAAAGAATTTTTAAAGTGCATAAAAGTTAAACAGCTGAATATGAAAAAGCATAGTATGAGCACCTCACTATCTGAAGAATAAAAGAAGAAAAAAAAAACCCAGATATTTAGAACGTTTTTTACAACTGTCTATTTATTAATTCTTTATATATTTTAAATATTAATTAAATAAATAACTTGTATTAATATAATAATAATAATAACAATAATAATCAACACAACAATAACACTAAAGTCTTTCCATGACTTGACACCTCAATTTTTTTAAGCTTTATAAACATGACACCTCAGCAAAAATAATCACCAATCAAAACATTTTATTAATACATCTCATCTACTTATTTTAATTTTTAAACTTAAACCCATTAAAAACTCAAATATTTTTTCTTTCAATTTTTGTTTTATTTTTTACCAAACTCAAGCCCAAATAATTAATAATTTTATTTTTTTGCCAAATCTAAACCCAAATAATAAATAAAAACAAATAAAAAGTTAAATTGTTGTTTTCTTTTTTTTGCCAAAACCAAATCTAAATAATAAATAATAACAAATAAATAATAAACAAAAATTCTAGCTATCAGTTTGTTTGACATAGACGTATATGATTGAAAAAGTGTAGGCTCAGCATCAACTATGCTTCCATGACAACAACACAAAAAGCCTTATGTTATAAGAAGCTCACACAGTTTTAGTGAGAAAATGCATTTTCGCGGGAAAACACAATTTCACGGGAGATAAAGCAATTTTTGGTTTTCGCGGGAAATTGTAGTTTATTTGTTTTTGTAGGAAAACGTGATTCTGGGCTTGACGAGAAATTTTTGTTTTCGCGGGAATTTTTAGGTTTTGGCAGGAATAGTCGATTTCTCAGTTTAATGGGAAAATGAAGTTTTTTTTTGTTTTGACGGGAAATGCGATTTCTCGATTTTTGTAAGAAGATGAAATTTCTCTGTGCTAAATTTCCAAGTTAAAGTATGTTTACAGTAACCAAAATTTAATTATTTAACTTTAACTAAAACTATATTTTAAGTGTTCAAAGATAATTTTCTATTTAGTTCTAAAGCAATAGCAATGATTTTGATATGAATGTTATTGATTGTAGTTTGGTAGTTGTAGAAACATATATTTATAATAAAATATTTTATAAATAAATAAAATGTATAATTCAAAATAATCATATTAATTAATAAATCTTTTTTTAAGTGATATTTTACTTTATATAATTACAAAGAAAGATCATGTGACAACTGATTGGAGAAAATAGATTACATTTGCCATTAGCATGAAGGTACTAAAAATGTATTGCTTTATTTTTATATATTTTATTCATAATATATATTTATAATTAGTTAGCTAACTAAATTTAATAGCAAATTATAATTTTGAAAAATAAATAAATAAAAAATATATAATATTTATATAGATTTAAAACATATAAATACATAATTTAAGCTAATGAAAAAAAATATAATATTCATTTACATTATAAAAAATAATAATTATATTTAAAATATATACAAAATTTAAAAAATATCACGCAGTATAGTACGGGTAAATACCTAGTAATAATAATAAGACATGATAAAATTTATTTTTACTGATGGAGGTGTTCTAACAATTAGAAAAAATTTATGAAAGACCGAAAACAAAAGCTTGTCTTTCCAACCGAAGAAATAATTAGCGACATTATCTCGGATCTAGTAAACGCCTACATGGCGGAATAGGAGTACAGGCGGCAGAGAAGCAGATAACAATAACTAAGCATCTGTAACAGAAATACAGGTTTCTTCCATGCTTATAAAAAAAAAAGGAGGAGAGAAATTGACAATATATCTGTAATAGCGGATATCGAAAAAGTTTTTTTATGAAGAAGATGAAATCTTAGGAACTATTATCACGTATTTTGATGTCCTATACACCACAACATCGGGGAACAAAGAGGAGATAGTGGCTGACTATAGCATTGTGTATTGTCTACTATAAAAACATCTTGAAATTATTGATAAGAAGATTAAAGCCAATTGGCTTTTGTCCCAGACCGAGCCATTTCCAACTAATATCACATGAAGTTCTTCATTTCCAAAAGAGGCCTACAACTGAAAAAGAGATGTTTAATGGCTGTGAAAATAGACGTGACAAAAACTTATGATAAAATCGAATGGAAATATATATTAGAAAAAGCGGATTTTAGAAAAGTTTTCTGAAAACCACACATTCATCCAATCAAACAAAAATTAGTTCTCGATCGATTAATTAGCTATTGAGAAATTCCCTCAAATGCACATAACCTAAGTTTTTGTTCCATATATATAGTAACACTCTAAAAAATTCCTTCCATAATATTTTGTACCATAAAATTAGTTACACAAAATATTAGTTAATAAAAAAAGAAAAAAATAATATACAAACAAATGTATCAATGGTCAAGACTGATCTGAAATCAAATCATTTGTTTTGTTTGGGATCACTCTTCTCATTTGATTGTGATTATGAATCTTTTAGATTTTTGGGTTTTTTTTTATGGGAAAATGATTTTGAGATTTAAAGCTTAAAATCATATAATAATAGATAGATCTGATGTAATTGGGTGAAAAACTCAAGAAACCTAAGCTAAAACAACAAAAATGGTGAAAAGAAAAGAAATCGGCGGAAATTAGGGCTTGGATGTCGCAGAGGTGAGGAAGGAGATGAGCGTAAATTTATGAAGATATTCTAAAGTTTTAGAAAGACTTTTCTAAAATGTATAAATTAAGGAAGTCATTACAAATATTTATAAATGCCTTCATAAATCGTATAATTGATTATTATTTTTGTTAATTTATACAACTCAAATTCAAGAAGCCTTTCCACAATTCAGGAAATCCTTTCATAATTCAGGAAACCCTTCCACAATTCAGGAAGTCCTACCACAATTCATGAAATTTTTAAAAATTTAGGAAAACTTTCTTAAACCATACGAAACGATGTTAAATTCTAGTATTTGGAAGATCTTTCTAAAAAAATCACGAAACATTAACAAAAAAAAATATTTAGAAAGACTTTCTTAAAAGGTAAAATCGGAAAACTCAAATGAAAAATGTTAGAGGTGAAAAAATTTTAACTTCTCTAGTATAATTATTGAAATTGTCCTTAGCTATTTCTTAGATAAAGTGCAATTTTAAAACAAAAATAAAATAAAAAGAAAAAACTGATTTGGGGAAGATAATTATCGAAGACCGCACTTCAAAAATGTTGTTCGATTTGCGCAGCCGTCCACTAAAAAACGCCCAATAATTAATATTCTTTATATTTTAAATTCTATTTTATAATAATAAATATCTACTATATAGATAAGTTTTAGATATGTAGAGATACGTAAGCAATATTTCTCTCGACCTAACGTTGCTTTTATTAGTGCATCATCTTAGGTAATTTTATTTTGATTAAATATATATATATATACTAGATATATAACTCGTGCTATGCGCAAGTCTGTATTAATATTTTGATTTATTTTTTATAACTATTTTTAAAATTATTAAAAATTATATATATTTATAGAAATTTTTATTTATATAAGAGAATTTAATATATAATGTGTAATTTATCCTATTTTTATTTATAAATTTTAAAAAACTATTAGGTAAAATAATAACAATAACACCTATCAAATTATCCAATTTCGACGTACATATACATTTGATTTAGAGAAATATAATTTTGCTAAGATTTTGATATTATTTTCTGTTTTCCACAGAATTTCTATAGTTTTTTTTTAAGGTTTATGTGTTCAAATATTTAGTTTTTTTATTGAAAGTCTTATTGATGTTGTGTACCACTGTATATAATCCATGATTCATGTTGATTCACATTTAATTTTGTTAGGAAGCTGTAATGATCATGCAAAACTATTTTTTCCTTCTCCATCATGTCTTAAGAGTTTTATGTTATATTTTTATTCAGTTTTCATTGTTTTAATTGTTAAATCAAGTTGTTGTAGATTTTTTTAAATTGATAATTGATAATGGTTACTTTTCTTTATACATGTCTTGTTAATTGTTAATTTTTTTTATTTAATTTTTAAATTTTAAACCATATTAATATTTTCTGATTTAATAAATATGTTGATTTGTATCAATCAGATTGAATTTACTTTTTTTTGTTGGACATAATTTGTTAAATTAAATTTTAATGTTTTAATTTGACTTAATAATTTTTAGTTTGGTTTAAAAGCTGATGTGGACCAATTAAATCAAGTTTTTTCGTCCTAACCATACTTAATATTTATTTATTTAATGAATATGCTGATGTGGACCAATCAAATCGAGTTTTTTTAATCTTATGTGGATGCCCTCAATACACTATACCATCAACTTTTATATATTACAAGGCTTTTAATTCGCGCTACGCGCGAGTCTGTATTAATAATTTGATTTAATTTTTTGGCTAATATTTTTTAAATTATCAAAAATATAATATAATTGTAGAAATTTTCTTTTATATATAAAAAAAAACATCATATGTAGTATTTCCTATTTTTGTTTATAAAATTATAAATCTTATTAAGTAAAATCATAGTAATGACACCTAACGAATTATCCAATTTCGATGTGCATATGCTTGATTTAGAAAATGATTTCCTTACTAAATTTTTGGTGTTTGTTTTGTAAATTTCGGATTTATTTGGTTCTTTTTTAAAAGAGGTTTATATGTTTAAATATTTAGTTTCTTTACAAATGTCTCACTAATGTTGTGTACATATACATATATAATTTATGATATATATTGATTCAGATTTACTTTTGTTAGTAAGCTACTCTAATCGTGTAAAACTATTTTTTGCTTCTCCATCAGATCTTCTACGAATTTTCGGTTATATCTCTATTCAGTTTATAAGATCT